CTCGCAAGTGTGTATGTGTTCTAGTCCACCTCCACGAGAAACACCGTGCTGCATATCAGAAACAATCTGGTGTCTCTCTACACAACCTTTCATGAAAAGGTATCATGATGCCTCCACTTCTTGAACTTAGCAGGGAAATGAATGCAAGATGTTAAGGTTATAACCAACCAGGTAGTTATAGTCGTGAACCTCGTAGCGCACCAGGCAAACAGCATGATCTCCTCGCACAGCACGCAGACCATTTTGGAAGAACATATTCGTCAGCTCTAGACTGTCTCTAATGTATATGATAGAGGAACGTGTTTCCCTCTCCCTCATATATTATGTAAGTTCAACACAACGTTAGCTGCATGAGCATTCACTGTGCTCTCTCAACAAGAATATTGCACGAGACTGTCAACGACGTAGCGTACAAAATACACGAAGATAAAGCTACACGGCTACTGTGGATGGAAGCGTTCCATCAACTCCTTGGACGATAACAGTTCTCACCTTCTTTCACTTTGAAAGATAGAAAACAAAATTAGAACGGAGACGGACCTTAGGTAGATAAGCTAGAATATCACTTCCGATGACACTGTCACTATGCCTAAGTATAATAAATACATATTCTGCAACATGAACATGAGTGTCTTCGTCTTCTATACTAAAAGTCGTATGGATGGATATACCATTCATACCAAATTTAGTCTTTTGAAATTATTAGTCTCTACTGAGGAGTAGGATTTACAGGATTGTGGTGAAGAACATGCAGATAGTGAACTTTCAATATTCTAATTTCAAAAGTCTTCTATGACACATAGTACATCTACGCATTTGGGGTATTTTCACAGAATTTCCCTAGTGTACTTCAATATCAACAGAAGAAATGTATAAGGAGTTGTGATGGATTTAATACATAGGGTTTGGATACTGCTTTATGATCCACTCAATGATTCAAGATCTACTTTCATAGACATGTGAACATTGTGAGAAATTTTTTTACAACACTACAACAACAACAAATTTTTTTTGGGTTCAGGTTTGCTTAAGACTTCACGATCCGATCCCCATATGTTAAAAAATTCAAATGAATGACATGAGAAGACAATTAATAAACATCTTAGACAAGCAATCAAAAAGATTTTGCTATATTTATGGTATAGATTCTTTTAAAGCAAAGCAATGTATAGGCTATATAAATGATGAAATTTGTTATAAACAAAATGATCAACATGGGAAACACAATTAATTTTTTACAATAGTAAAACTAGATAAAAATTATCAACAAATTTAGTTTTGCATAAAAATCGCAATCAATATGTTTAGTATAAATGAATGACATCTCCGTGAATCATTTAGAAAATTAATCTGAATATGTTCAAGTAAATAATCAATACATGCAACGCAAAATGAAAAGATTTTTTAAGTCTTGTGAAAAACAGCAACAGAATTACTTTGCATAAATGTCAAAATTTGAAAAAAACATCAATTAATATTGAAATGGGATTATAGTCACAATGCAGGAAATGCAATAAGGGATTGTTGTACATTTTGCATGATAGTTGTACAACATATGACGAGTGTGAATTTACATGCGTACAGAAAGATTAAGCACTAGTTTTTCATATAAATAGAAAATGTACATTAACATGAACATAAATGTTTGTTTTATTATCAAATGACTAAAATATGCATGAATCTTTTTCTAATTTTGAATAGATCTAAGTTAAAATATATTGATGGATTTTATTATAATTCTAGTGTTCAGAATGTCAAAAAAACATAGGTTGTTGGCATTTGTATCATGGATAACCATTTAGTATTTTTCTTTTCTTGAAATTTTTTGTTAATTTCTAATTTTAAATAAATATCAACATCATTATTTTTTAAAAAATTAAACAAATCACAACAAATCTGTGCATAGAAATGTGTTAAAACTTAAGCTTGACATCAAATTCATGTACAAAAAACTGAAGACATGACAGAATTAAAGGGCGTAGAATTAATTGTTATTATTGTATTGTTAAATTATTTAATTTAAAATTTTCATTTAAAACTGAAAATTTTATCTTTTTCAAAATTAAACTTGATTTTTTAGAAATTTTAGATTCATATTCTTTTATTAAACTTCAAATATTGATGAAAACAATTTTAAATTATCAAAAGACTTAATTTCTCAAAATGTTGAATAAATTTTTTTATTTTAAAATTTATTCATATTGAAATCCTATAAAACATGATTATAAAAAATGATTATCTTTATAAGAATAGACTTTAAAAAAATGTGCTGAAATATTTTATGATTGTTGATACTTTCTCAATGAAAAATAATTTTTATTTTGACAAATGTATCAAGATACAAAGCAATCAGAAAAAATGTATGAAATGAGTATATAAATTTTTTTTTATTATCTGAATATGAGAAATATATTTCTCATATTTTCATAATAACGAGGAAAATTTTTAAATATACATACATTAAAATTGTATCAATTTTTTATGTCACACAGTTATGAAATGATTTTTTTTAATTAATCACTAAATACATAGAAAAATTAATAAATTGATATATTTTTAAATCATAAGTTTTGTATTAGAATTTATGAATTTTTTAGAGAAAAAAATTTCATTAGCAAATTTTGATAGAAATTATTAAATATTTTTTAATAAATATTTTCAGCCCTATTGTATCTTAGTCATATATAATACAAAATGTCATATTTTTTAATAAGTTATGTTTTTATTTTGAAACTAGTTAATTTTTCAAGTTAATTTATAAAAAATATTATTTTTTTATTTTTAGAATGATTTTCGTGTGTTTTAATTATTTTTATAAGTTTTTGAAATATTAAATTTATTTCCTGTAAAAATAATATTTTAACGAATTATTTATTTTTTATAATTGTTTTTATTTTTTGATTTAATTTTACATTTTTAAAGGAGTCACTTTTGAATGTCATTTCTTGAATAAAAAACTTAACCACATTACAGTTTAGAAAGTTTTAAAACATAACAAGCTCGTTCATTCATGGGTTTAATTCAAACAAGTTTTCTAATCTTGTCAAATTTCTTTGTACACAACTTGGCGTCAAAATAAAGAACTACAACATTTCTTTGTAGCCATACCAATCTGGATTTTCACATTCACTAATCATTTTCGAGATTCATTGTGTATTTCATAAAACTTTAAAAACACAGGACAGCTGATTTCGAGAACGTATTATAATATTCATGATATACAAAGTGATTGTAATGTTTGTTTTTTATAATATTGCTTCATATGTGCATTTAATCTAAGTAACAAAGCTTAAACATGACTAATATGTGGCGTGAAATCTATCATATTAAGGAAAACATTTGAGTTGTGGAAATTTGGTCAAAAAGCCTGTGAGATGTTACAAGAAGAAAATGTAATCCAAACATTCTAATATGATAACTTAATGCATAAACACAAATTACATAGATCTATGACATATTTTGACATGTTTAGGAGTAAGTGAGGAAGACCATGCACAAACACAAATTTTGTATCTATGACATATTTTGACATGTTTGTGAGTAAGTGAGGAAGACCATGCACAAACACAAATTTTGGATCTATGACATATTTTGACATGTTTGTGAGTAAGTGAGGAAGACCGCGCACAAACACAAATTTTGTATCTATGACATATTTTGACATGTTTGTGAGTAAGTGAGGAAGACCATGCACAAACACAAATTTTGTATCTATGACATATTTTGACATGTTTGTGAGTAAGTGAGGAACACCATGAACAAACACAAATTTTGGATCTATGACATATTTTGACATGTTTGTGAGTAAGTGAGGAAGACCGTGCACAAACACAAATTTTGTATCTATGACATATTTTGACATGTTTGTGAGTAAGTGAGGAAGACCATGCACAAACACAAATTTTGGATCTATGACATATTTTGACATGTTTATGAGTAAGTGAGGAAGACCCTGTATGTATATGCTAAAAATTATCATTTTCACTTGCCTCTCATATAAGTTAGTTCATTCTCATACTTTTTTCTCCAAATCACTAGCGTTGCACACATCAATGTAATGTGGCATCAAATGCTCTCTCTCTATATATATATATGAAATATATTTCTAACTGAATGATTTTCAAGAATATATCCCTTGTAGGTTTTTATTGGATCTTAGAATCATTTTTGTTTTGCAGTTGATCATATTTTCAGTTTACTTTTTTGTTTGCTTTTTTGTACAAACATATTTTTTGTTGAAGAACATAGCTCACGAGAAATATCACAAAACTTTGTTGACAAGTGTTTAGCTATTCCACATTCCAGTATATATGTTATCAGATAACCTGTTTTTTGTACAACCTATGCGATTCTTGAGAGGTTGTGTGCCTCTCGGAACGTCTAGGAATGCCTCACAAATTCCTCAGTCATGTCTCCAATTTGACAGCAAATTAAGATTCTGTTGAAGTTGGTGATACTTATGTAGTGAGGCAAAGAAAATGGTATATCTCATTTGGATCGGTTGGAATCGCAATAGGAAAAGACTCCGACTTGGCGTGAGAACTCATTCGTTTTAAGCGAGAATAAGCCTTCAAACGAACTTATGGTCGTGGTTTCCTGGTAAGAATGAAAGAGGTGTTTCCGGAATTCCAGTACTCATCCGATTTCTTTTCCTTTCCCTCTTCCTGCAAAAGTAACATCTAGTGGAAATGAGACAAGAAAAAATTTGCCTGATATCCCGATGAAACTTGTCCCTAGTTTAACCAACATCCCCCCTAATTTAGACCAGTCACTACCATCTTCAATGAAAGACGAAAACTCGCAATCGGTGTTAGGAAGGGACCCTACAGAGGTTCATGAGGAGCGTACCACGTTCGCAGTACAAAGGGAATAGCTGTTGAGGTCCCAGGGAACCGGTCCGAATCTTAAGTAAGTGCAGTCGCTGAAAACGAGCCCCAAATGACGGGTTGCACAATGATTAGGGTTGTGGACTAATCAGCAAAAGCCCACGAAGGTCCCACTTCCCCAGCGTTTGTTTCGCATTTCTGTGACATTTTTGCTGTATTACTTCTTTTTTTGGCACCCTTGTTTCGCTGCGGTTTTGTTTTACATTTCTCGACTGTCGAGGCTTGTGCTGCAGCAGCAGCAGCGGCAGCCTGGTTTCGGAGCAACATGGCATGGCAGAGACGGCAGAGCTGACTCACAGTGCAGCGTTGTGGAGTATCAGCGTTCCTTGAAAGTCAAGTTATGATCGGAGTATTGAGCACTCAAGGTATTTATAATCAAGGCATGATGGAAAACACGATCTTTTTGTTTGAAACGGTTTAGTAACTTTACTAAACCGAACCTCAAAAGTCAGTAACGGACGATGAAGAGTCCGTGTTTTATGACGCCGAATTCTGCTACATTCCCTTTCAAGTGCTGGGAAAGATGCACAAGACGCTCTAATAGGCTCGTCATCACATCTTGTAGTTGAGAATGCGCGAAGAATCGGCTCATTCGTTCGCGACCATCACGTGCTCAGGCGACGGGAGTAGCGGGAGGTTTCGGTTCTTTACCTAGAGTGCGACTTATCACAGCTTTGTTTCCGTTGCATCTGTTTAGGATAAATTCTTCGTGATCCTAAACAGTAATCTTCGAAAGGCGACAAGTTGAATCGTGCGGAGCCAATTAGCCAGCGACTGCCGTGGCTTGGCCCGTCAACGAGAAACCTCAAGACGGGCCATTATGAGAATGGATTGATATGCTTCAAACATTTCGTCAAGCAGAGGGTGTGCACCAGGAGTCACACAAGGGACATTGACTAACTCAAACGACTGGGAGATGATTGATTTCCATGTCCCCTTTGCGCTTAAACTCATTATGAAGGGCTTTCTCTTCGAACTTTTGAAAGAGTTGCTTGGCCACCAGACGGGGTTTGCGACACCGTCTTGCGATCTACTTCGAAGTGTCCAAGAGATGCACCTTGATGATGATTGGAGTGGGCAAGAGCCAGGAGGCGCATGGAGATTGATGGTATTCTATAGAGACAACTAGAAGTAGGCCTCATTATCAGCAAATCAATAGCTCCAGTAGGAAGAGCAGGCAAGAACAAATCCTGGCAAGCCTGTCTTAAATGAGGGGAGCCAGAGGGTATGTGGCCAGAGGATGTAGGTGGGATCCGTCAGCTGGTTTGGTAGCAGCACGAGTATTTTATACTTTCTGTTCAAGAACAGTTCGGAATAACACACTGGACATTGACTTTCCATTTTAAACCCTCATTCCATAAGCAGGAGTTGGACCCCACCCGTCCTCGCGAGATGGATATGTGATCGATTGATACCTCGCCCAGCGTGCATGCACTGGACGGTGGTGGTCCACTGTCTATGCGTGAATCGATAGATTCACAACAGGACTGTGAGAACTTACTAATTAAGCCTACCCCTTCCTCATCCCTAGGACAGGCAAAAAATAAACTTATTCTCGTTGGAGCTCCTGTTCTGCCATATGGACTCTTGGCGCGCGAAACTTTTCATGTCTAGGACTCTTGTAGATGTAATCCCCTCGAGGTCGAGAGTCGGTGTCCATGAAGAATTTATGATCCAACAAACTTCTTCGGACAAGTACACGAGGTGGTAGCGCAACATACACTTGACATCCTTAGAAAAATTAGAGGGAACCTACAGTTTGAAAGACACAATCATACACACTACAAGTAGAGCGGTATAGACTAGAACAACTAAGCTTATCTACCTTCTGGCCAGAGGAGACGTGCAGTGCATAATGCTGAAGAGTCGAGAGTCCAGGTTGCGCTCTATTCAGCTTCCTCGAAACTGGAAGTTTATCGGGCCAATCAACTGGATCATATAGTCCAAACCCACGAGGATGTAACGAACCAACTCGAGAGGGCCCATCATCCCGTCATCCCTTAAACCCCCCCAACCTCGACAAGCGAAACTCTTGAGATAAGAAAGTAAGTCTCTCCGAAGGGGTGGTACTGTTCTGATGCGATGAGATCGATAGCAGTTGTTTATAATAATCTGTCTTTTAACGGTGGTACCCTTTCTCAACTACAGCTGTTTAATGCATATGTAAGAGGTGACAGTCTCGTACGAGGAACCAGCGAATTGCAAGAACATGTGGATTCACGTCGATCCCAGGGAAAAGGACACTGCATCCAAGAGACATTCTCTCGCTCACAGAAAGTTTCAACTTCTTGTGCTCCAGAACTCCTGCGGCGTGAAGCCTTTTACCGTGACAGTTAGCAGGACCGAGTCGCCGAAGCGTGGCGTTCTTGTAACGTAAAATGGCGTGACCGGTCCGACATGCCGAAGAGTGTATCTCAACAAGCAGCAGCGTACGCTCGTGACAGTGACAGACAAGACAGACAAGAACGACAAAGCGTCCTAGTCAGTGACTGGCATCGCGACGTCCTTTGTCTCCTGTGACAGCCCGGTGACCGTGGGTCGACGATACCGTATGCCATTCACGTGGTAGCGATCTTCACATGATCGTAGTCGTGGATGCTGTTATTAGACAAGCTTTATTGCCGTGATTGTGGTAAGCCTTGCTTTAATTTGAGTTGGGCTGGACGTCTGCCTGGCCGCGTCCGAGCGTAGGATCAATCCGCCTTGTAGTTCTTCGATGAAGATTTGCAGATTATCCTAAGCTTCATTAGCCTAATTTGCTCATGATTAGTGGAAGCCAGATAATGACTCATCGGTCTCTGTGTGAAGGTATAGCTCTGCACTCGAGTATTTCCCTGAGCCGAAGGGTGCCATGCGGCCCGATGGTTTATGTAGCGGGTTACGTTAAGTTTAGGGCTACTTTAATTGGTCACGATTTGAGCATGCTCGACCAATCGATAATGGTTAGTCAGAGTAATCAGCAGGAGGATTATGATTAGTTTCGTTCCTCAGGTGGTCTGCACAGACGAAAGTACCTGCACAGTGTAACGTAGAGCTCGTAATTTCATGCCTCCATTCTCTGATTCACTCGCATACAGTATATCTTGATGACATTTGAACTGTAGATCTTGTGTACAAACGTATAGTTCTTCTGCCATACTTTGTTCTGTAGTTAATTTTCAGATTCCTACTGCTCCGTATTCAAACACTCCTGAGGGCTCGGAGACTGGGACTTTGCTGTTTAGAATGCATGGGTACGTGGTCAAGTTGTTTGCCTGTGCACTGTGTGTCTACCTCATAGACTCTGGATGGTTTTGAGAAACTCGGGTTTTTTACGATCGAGGCATGCTGTAATGGGTTTTCGATCGTTCGTTTTCGGATCTAGTCGGAAATGGCGTGGAGACAATCACCGACAATGAAATGATCATGAAGATGGCAGAAAGGAATCTTCTTTCCTCGTGTTTTCATTCTGGATCTCTCCTGTGACAAATGTAACTGAATCTTTATCTACCTTCTTATGACATGATTGCCTGGTGTAGCATGGAATGACCGACAGTTTGGATGTTATCGTAGAGGAGATGTGAGGAAACACGGTGCAATCAATGAATAAACTTTCCAGCCGAGCTTTTTTGCGGATGTGAATACTCTAAAGCTATCTAGAAGTGCACTCATCCTTCAAGACACTCAACATAATGCGGGGTGTTCATTGTTGCTATTAAATGATTCTTCCAAAGAATGTAGGCCACAAAAGACATCTATACGTCGTGAATACACTCGTGTATGTACGACATCATGCTTCTTCCGTCTGATGACTCGACTTCTCGGCTTCTCGGCTTCTCGTGCCTCAAGCTTTTGGATATCACCTGAATGATGCAAGATCGTCTTTGCTGCAGCAGTCATTGCGGATGCGCTGAGACCATGTAAGACATTGACCTTCCCGTCCCCATTTCACCCCTCAGCACAAAGCGACTTCAATCACCTCGTTAAGAACGCACCTTTTGAGTCGAATCAACCTCGTACGCATCCATGTCTCATGTGGTTTCTTCAATTGAGCACATTGTGGTCGCACCTTAGATTGGTTCGAGAAATAGCATCTCGAGGAAAAGCAGACAAACCTTAATGGCGTGGCAATCAGTCTCGAGCAATGAGATGCATGGGGGTTGATTCTTTACTAGGCGAAGAATGGCGTAAAGTTACCCAAACTGCACCACGCCGGACATCAAATAAAAGTATTCCATACAAACCTCGCTACCACAGTCATCATACGATCAGCGCATAAATGTTCAGCGGGCGCGGTTAAGAGGTGTGGGTGGACGACGCAGTACTAGAGCAGCTGTCGAGGCAAATGGAATTCAATGATTAAAAAAATAATTGTTTTCCACAGCAAATAAGAATGCCGGTATAAGAAAGTGCGGTGAGATGGCAATTCAGAGGCATGCTATTTATGGTAAGGGTCGTAGACCCGGGAGATTAAGAGGTTTGGGAAAAACGGTATTGCGAACCGAGAGATTTGATATGATCCTGGCTGGGGACAGGGGATGTCTGGATATAAATAAGAGTAAAATAATGATAAACATGGGGAAATACGTTGAGAGTAATAAAGGTTTGTACCGGGCGGCAAGTGAGCGAAAGAGGGGGCTGACTGCCTGACTACTGTAGCCGGATGCCTGGGACGAATACACAGTGAAGGGGGACGGGGTACGGAGTTCCTGTACTAAAACCGCAGAAGAGCGACGGGAGGAACTGCGCAGGAGGCGGACGCACGCTGTTGCATGTTGGATGGCACAGTTGTGCGAGTGCTGCGGTCATGCGCCGAGGGGGCGGTCATGATCATGCGTATGCGGCCATGGTCGCTGCGGTTTACATGGTACGTGACGTCATCATGGTCGCCATGTCAGCGTGCTCTCGCCTCCTCCTCATGCGGCGTACAAGTCGGATCTCAGACAGCAAGAGATCTCCCTCCTCTGTGTGTTTTTACCGCCGAGAGGCGCCGAGGCTTGCCTTACCCGGACCCCAGGTCCGAGCCTCCCAGGTCCGCTGCATTTACTCGGGGTTTAAACGCCCCTCGTCTTTCTGCATAGCTCGCTGACACGAAATAAGAAAAGCAAAAGGCCCAGACTTCACCGCTCCGGCGAGCTCGAGTTACCTCGTCTCCTGTTAAAACGGTCTCCCCCGTTTGGTGCTTCTTTCCGTCGCAGCACTCGCTCATAGCCTTGACCATTTGTCGATCGTTTCGCTTCTTAGAGAGTGTACAGGCCCAGATCCTTCTCAGATCAGACGATCGCATCAGCGGGATTTCCTTGTAAGGTAGAAGCGGGTCTGGCTGGCTGCTGGGTTGGCCTGCAGGGCCGGTGATAGGAATGCAGTTGCCAAGCAAATGCAGGTGCAGGGGAGGACGGGGATGTTGTGAAGCAGGAAGAATGTGGCGGCTGTGAAGGGGGTGACGAGAGGAAGAGGAAGAGCAAGGGACGATGAGTAGGAGCTGCTGCTCCTACGTTGCGTTCGGTTGATTCGAATGGGTTATGGTATATGATGAGTAGTTAGATGAGGAGCTGAGCGCGAGAGGGATCAGGTGAGCTCACTTCGATGAGAAAATCACATTCGGCAGCACGAGTGTTGGATTTTGCCTCCTCGGCTGCGTGAAATCGTCATGATGAGTGTTCTCTGCCGCCGCCGGCTTTCTGATTGATTTACTCGTAATTGCCGTTTTTTTGCTCCATGCTCTCGCGAGGAATGGGTCCGAAATTTGGTTGTCTAGCGTAGAATAAGGCCGAGGAGATTTGAGAGTCACGGAGACGGGGAAGGGAGAGTGATAAATGGATAGGCGTTGAGGTCTGCTGGAACAGGCGAGAGACGAGATCCACACCTGGATCGTATTCATGTCGTGAAAGTAGTACGGTATAGATTTGAGGATTTGAAATCGGCCGGATAACGGCATTGTCAGTGTCGCGCAGCGAGGGAGTCAGCGGGTGATTTCCCAGATCGATAGGGAGATACAGTACAGTGGAAAGCGCGTGATTTGTACAACCGAAGCTGGTCTCTCCCAAGCACAACGGGAAGGGGGTGGCATAGACGGTTTTGCACTCGTTTGCGAGCAGTGCAGAATATGTTTCTGATGCAGGCAATGTGACGTTGTCCACAGATTTTGCGAAGGAGCAGCGGACCTGTGCCCCGTCGTTGCTCTTCTTCTCAGCACGGAGTGGGAATGTCATCAACGGGTAAGCTTGACCCATCGCTCGAAAGATTTACGTAAGGCATGGTCAATTTGTTGCACCAAGCGTCCCTTCGATGAGATATCAGTTGCAGTGACGGGTCTGTGTAAGAATTCTTTTCGTCTTGAGGGTATCTATGAATAACGCAATCTGCCAAAGGGCGAGGCACAATTGGCGATGGAGATAATGTGGGGATGAACGTTCTTAGGACAACCGGCATGTTTTATCATATCTTCCTTTTTTTCTCATTGAGTTCTATGATTTTTGGAAAGTGACTGGAGATGCTCACCGCTTTGGCCTTTCGTTATCCGAGCAGGTCGTCAACCGTAGCGAGCGCGGCGTTCAACTCTTGTATGTAATCTCGGCATCACTCATAATTTGGCCAAGAACTTGAACGTGGTCACTTGAACTTTCAAAGCAGAGCATTCGTTTGATTCACGTTGCTTCGTACGTACTCCGTGAAGGCTCGAAGGACTGAAGTTGAAGTGCCCTCTGGTGAAATGCAGGCATTGGTGCGGAACTCATGCAGTGTAGTGAAGATCAATGCAGAGTTGGAGCTGGGGAAATGTGCCACCTGTGGCGATTGGCAAATTTTCCGAAGACGGCAAGGTACTCTCTCCTCTGTGACGTACTCACCGTCATGTTTCATGTTGTCGAGTAAAATATGTCTCCATCTTGTCAGTCGCTGCTCTTTCCTCCTCCTTCACGTTCCAACAGTAGTTCCTGAGCTTCGTGTTTCGATATGGTCAGGAAGTTGCGCACTGGCGCATGCCCATTGTGTTTCCGGTACTCCTTCCGCTCTCGTCGTGACAGACCTGAACGTCAACCCATAGCTGAACTTCGGATTGCTCGGTTTGCAGGGCCACCAAGTTTCACCGGTGTCGACACCGGCATCAACTGAGGGCTCTGATGATGGAAAGTTGACACTCAAAGACCGGCGGCTCGCTTTAGAGCAAGAAGTGAGTCATTTTCTTGGCAGTGTCGTTGTGCACTTATTTCGATCTGGCACGGTTTTCGCTCTTCGTCCGGACTCCGGCAATTTGCATCACGTGCAGTGTACTGACCGGAGGTTATGTGCGTCTCGAATCAGGTTAGCAAGCTACGGAAGAAGCATGCGCAGGAGGTGAATCTGCACAAGGCCTTGGAGAGAGCTCTGCAGCGGCCCGTCGGAGTTCTGCCCCGTATTCCATCGTATCTTCCTGCAAAGGTCGGTTCCTCGCATGTCGTTAGTTTAAATGTCGCGTCTGGGTTTGAAGGCTCCGAGTAGAATTGTCGAATGGATGTAGATTGGAGTGCAATGGTGAAGTCAGTGACCCGATATATAGTTCTTGGTGGCAATACAGATTCAAAAGCTGTTAGCAGAAGTCGCCGTCTTGGAGGAGGAAGTTATTCGATTAGAGGATCATGTCGTGTACTTGCGCAATGAGCTCAACGATGAAGCTCAACAGGTCAATTCGTGGGGGACGCAGAAGCAGCCCAATAACTTCAATGCTGCGAACAATGCCAAGAGTCACGTCAACGACTTGAGCAAGCCAAATCACCTGACTAAGATTCGCTTGAAGAAAGATGCATCTGTTCCTGTTAAGGAACCTCCCGTCAAGGAAGTCACCAAGGAGGTCAAGGATGCGAGTAAATTTTCGTCCACTGGTCGCAAGAAGGCTTCCACCGACTCAAAGGATGCGAAGAAGAGTGATCAACCTGTCGCCAAGCTGCTCATGTCTTTCAAATCCAACTCTTCAAAGGAGGGTAAGGAGGACAAGAAGGACAGGGATCATAAGAATGAGAAGGATCACAAGGACAATTCCAAGGAGCACAAAGATGGCAAAGAGTCCAAAGAGAGCTCGAAAGAGCCTGCGAAAACGGTATCGCCCACGAAGAGTACCAAGAGTCCTCGTCGAGCGGGAGCTACAGGAAAATCTGCCGCCCCAACGCTGACGCCTGCACCCACTGCCGTCACTGCCCGCAAGGCCCCGGTGAGTGAGGTGCTCTCGAGATTCCAAGGCATGCAACAGCCTTGGAAACCATCAGGGACCAATGCGAAGAACAACAATCTTCTCCGGCAGTTCAATTCGCTCGGTTGGAATGATAAGCAGCCGCATCTCACGAAACAGCAATCCACATCCAGCCCTCGTTTCAATGCGGGATCTAACAGCTCAGGCAGCTGGCTCGACAGACCGATTTCGGCTCTGCCCAAGGCAGATAGTTCTAGTCCCCGAGCTGGTGCAAGGAACCCCTTCTCCGGGGGTTCGAACACAAGATTGTGGGAGAAGGAGAATTTGCAGAGCTCTGCAGCAGCGAAAATCGCGTCGAGAAGTCCCCGAGCCTCGAAACTCGGCTTTAGCGTGGACTTCGAATCATCTAATGTGGATCGCAAGTCTACCATAGCAAGCAAGGTAATTGCTTCCTCTTGAGGAGTGTAATCTTTTTCAGCGATTTGAAGTAAGATGAGTAAGTAATCAGCCCTCTACGCAGGATTTCATCCTCTGAAATGCTCCGCAGCGCGCTCACGTTTAGCAGTTTCATTGTGTCCAACGACAGGCCCTTCTGGCGGCAGTTCAACCAGCGAGTAAGATGGCCTTCACAAGCGCCCCAAAAGACGCACCCACTATCGAACCCAACCGACTGTCCGAGGAGCTGGTGAAGTGCTTAGTCAACATTTATAACAAATTGGCCAAGGTTCCTGCTGCAGATGCGAAGGGCAGTAAATCTGGGTCGAAAACACCAGTCCACGCCTCTGCTTCTCGGAGCAACGGTCACAAGTCAGGCGAAGACACGGCACCTGTAACTGACTTCTACGGTGTCTGCAAAGACCATCCCCGGGATGTTGGTCCTTACAAACACATTCATGAAATTACAGTGGACACAATCGACAGCAGTGGCATTGGCAGCTGTACTGCTCTATACAAAAAGCTCGGGTATGTCGCTTGCTCTTTAGCAACACATCGGGACCAGAATGATGTTACTTCATGCTCGATTGCTCTCGCAAACTCATATTCTAGACTCAGAAATGACAATGTCCTGGTATGTTAAAAGCTCTGTGCAGGGATTGCACAATTATGTGGCATGCTTATTCTAGCTTCATTGGAAAAGTTTCCTTGCCTCGACTGCATACCCGTAAGACCTCGCTTATCGGATGTGCAGATCACTGATGGAGCAGCTGGAGAAGGCGGACCTTCAAGCATTATCTCACCACGAAAAGTTGGCATTTTGGATCAACATTTACAACGTTTGCATGATGCACGTAAGTGGCAGCCTGTAGTAGCCAATCCTGTTAACTAGATGCTCTTGTGGAGTATCTTGACGTCTGTTTGCCTTTTTTGGAGGGGGCTTGTGTGTCGTGCTGGTTGTTGATTCTCAAGTGCTCTTCCCTCCAGGCATTTTTGGAGCGCGGGATTCCTAGCAGCCCGTCGAAGGTGGTTGCTCTCATGCGCAAGGTACGAATGACATGTATTCCCGCCCTTCCATGCTGGAATGAGGACAGCTTAGAGGAGGTTGTGGGGCAATTGCAATCAGTGGACAACTTCATTGCTGCAGTGGAAAAGCTCTGATTTCATCGTGAGAAATGTATTGTTCGAGACGTGAATCTCAATGGTGGATTGCTCGATTGCAGGCAGTTGTGAACGTAGGGGGTTACGTGCTGAACGCTTTGACCATCGAACATTTTATTCTTCGACTACCCTGTCGACCGAAGAATGTCCGAACATCTCCTTGGCGGCATTTTCAACGCGCCGAGGCCGCCACCCCAACCATGGTGAGTAATTCGAACGCAAACAGCTGTTCACATTCTTGGCCTTGGCAGGAGAATCAGGCTTTCTCTAGTTACCCTCCACCGAAGTTAAAGTGGCCTCAATGTACTTCAAGCTTAATTGGCTACGGACTGATTTGACTTTCGCCTCGTTCTCCAGGCTTTTATGAAAAATGCTGGGATGGAAGAAATTATTGAGCGCAGTGCGTATGGGCTCGATTGGCACGAGCCTCTCGTTACTTTTGGACTCTGCTGCGGCAGCCGATCGTCCCCCGCCGTAAGTAATCTCATCCAAAGTAGTCTTTCTCGGAATTTCTGCACCTTTCAAGTCAAACGTGCGCTTCACAAGCTGAACCCTTCATCTATTATTCAAACCGGGCTTTCTGTTGAAGCGTATCTGCATCTGCTCTGTGACGGGAGGATGACCAGTTTATGTTTGTTTGTGTACAGCTCCGAGTATATACATCGGCTGCTGTAGAGCAAGAGCTGGAAACAGCGAAACGAGAATACCTCCAAGCGGCAGTGGGCGTGAACGCGCAAGACAAGATTTTACTCCCCAAGCTCCTGGAGTGGTACATGCGCGATTTTGCCAAGGATATGGAGTCCTTATTAGAGTGGGTATGCGGGCAGCTGTCCAGTCCACTTCGAGAAGCCGTCCAAGAATGCTTAAACCACCCAAGAGAGGGTGTACTGTCACACTCCATCGAAGTGATGCCGTATGACTTCAATTTCCGTTATATTTTCCTGATTTGATCACATCAACATACACATAACCTCACCTTAAGTTCGCTGCAACTTACAATTCATTCCAGGATATATTTCCTACTAACAGGTGTGATACACCATCAACAACAACAGCAGCAGCAGATGAATCTTAGACTCCACCACGACGAGCAGATTCCCCAATTGTGCAGAGCAATGGCTTGCGAGAATGCCGTGATCCCAGACATCCTTGCTCTGACAACGCTTCTTCGACAGACGGAGGTCGTGGCAGAGTAGCATTCTGGTCGCGAAAGTGGGATCTTTTTAGTTACCCCACCCGATCGACGACCAGATTGGGAGCAATTTCTCCACAGTAGGACTGACTAGTATCAACGCACTGCATCCAAATGCCATTTCAAGTATCTACGGTAGCATCAAGGCTGCCAACTATCAGCTTCAGCACAAAAATGTATTCAAAAGAAAACCTCATGGTGGGTTCTTCAACACCCCACGATACAATACCGTCACAGTAGCTAGCTTAGCTAGCTCGCCATTTGTTTAAGTCTTGTATAATTGTAACATTTTTGAATGTTTGTTCGGGATCGTGTTTTAACACCCATTATCTCCTTTCCCAAGTGAATAAAATATCAGTTCTTGTCTCTGCGCATTCATTGGGCCCCATGGTGATCCCTGATTCCTCGAGTTTTCCGAATGGGCAAATTTAACTCCGAATGTCGTCCCTCTGCCCGAACATGATTGCTGTCAGGCTCACGCCGAATGAATGCGCCGTACCCTTCGAACCTCGCCAGTCGGTCAACTGCCAACCGAGTAGTCATGTGAGCGCCTCGCTAAGTTTAGACCTCGGACTGCACTCGTGTACCTCGTTGAGCTCAGTCCTGTCTCTATTCAAATTCAAATCCCCTTCGCCACCTTGCCGTTCGAATCCTTGTCAGGAACGGTCCAGCGTGACTAGTGGATCCGAACGGATATGCCCCCTCGCTCTCTTTATGAGCGGGCCGGCCATCCGCCTCCCGGAGCACCGCAGGGCCCGTGCCGTCGAGGGCAGACAAGATGCGTCGCTCTTCGTGCTGCTGCACATGAAGAGTCCCTAGACTTCCTTCCTTCGTGGTTCCGGTTCGGCCGAGGCACCTGGCTCGGAGTCTCGGACCGAGTTACGGTAGAACCGAGAGCGTGGGCATAGTATGCAGATAATCGTCTCGCGTGCTCCTCTGTGATGGATGACACATTCCTCGAGAGCGCAAGTAGGACTGCAGAAGTGCGCCATGTCTACCGTGACAGCGAGGACGCCATTGCCTTTGAGGAGCTCGCCGTCGCAGGCGGTGAGCTCCTCGAGGGAGAGAGAAATTAGAAGCCACAATCTTGGACTTGTTCTAGAAGACCGATGGGGCCGTGCACGAACTGGGGCGCGTTGGTATGTGTATGCTCGTGAACAACAGTCTGGCACTCTTATGGCTTCTGTGACGGTGGACGTGGGTCCCTTATATTCGGAGTTTTTTTCCATTTGATAGTGTGCGATGGTGGTGGAGGTCCAGTCTGTTCGTGCCTATCCTTGTCGGCCACGCTCGTCTTTCATGTCCATTTCCTTGCTTTGGTTCGGCTGGAGTATTTTTCTTTCCCTCTTTTGGCTCCCTCATCTGCGGCCCTGGATCATTCCTCATTGAGTTTCAGCAGAGTGAGATCCGCCATGTTATCATGGGGACCTTTCACGCTATGTTGAAGCAGGCATTTTGGGGTTTTCCATTTTTATTGAAGCATCTTCTTAATGACAATGTGAAGGGATTTTGAACATGGGCTCCTTTATTTTGAGATATGTATCATAGTGATAAAATTAAGCTTTTCCTGGGATACATATGCACAATCAATCACACGTGAATCTGAATTAATTTGGACGTAACATATACCCTCATGAAATCGTTTGAAAGATAGATATATGATTGGTTTGGGATTATATATATACACACACATTAGCTGAACGTTAGGAATTGCGTGGGGATATGTAACCACAGCCCTGGATTATGCCACGATAGACTATCATCAGCTAAATTAAAAAAAATTCAGAGGTAACTAGTTGCTTCTTTAGCTTAAGAGTTACGTGATCTATGGACTTCAGTATTTTCTAAAAAGAAAGCATGAAATATTACTCATAAAATTACTACGATAACATTGGTATCAGTTTCTTTGATACATTTCATAGTTTATAATACTTAGCATCCATCGATTATAAACTCCGTGAAAATGATACTAGCTCTTAGCTCCATCCTCCCCTTTGAACTTTTCCATGTATGACTTGACTGGCTGTCTTCCAATACTTTTGCTGTATTTGTATTGCGTTATGTATTTATCTTAGTCTTATCTAGAGGGCCTCTCTTAGTCTATATTGCTTAACAGTTAATGCTTATGTTATTTTGTTTTTATTCTTTGATTTCCCCAGAAGATCAGAGACCTCCTATATTTAGTTTGAAGAGTAGTTTGTACTAATTCTTGATGTCTTGACGTAGACAATCATCATCAAAACATGTCCGTTGGGCAGTTAAAGTCCCATACCTACGAATTTGAGCTACATTTCACGAAAGACTACCAGCTGCGAATTCTAATACCAATCTGACGTTACGTTCGTGAGTCTAGCATTCCTCTGTCCCGTCTCTGCGATTAGGTTTTCGTCCAGGAACTGTTGAGTGGCCTTTAAAATGTGTATCCTTGCAGATTGGGTTTGCACAAATACACGCTTCCCCACGAGGTCGACAAAGTAGGCGGAGATTTGTGGTTCATTCGTGTAGTGTAAAGAGCCTCCTGCTGTACAACTGAGTCTACTGACAATCAGTCCTCGGCTAGTGTTCAGGCCTCAGTCTCACCTCCCACCCATGTGGAATGGTAACAGCGCACTTAGTTTCTTTGTTCTGGAATACATGAATACAGGTGTTATAGTGGAAACCTTCTTCTCACTTGCCTACGCTGTGTATGGAGCTCCTGTTTAGGTTCATTCTCGAGTGCTTGATAGTGCAGTTGTTAAGAGTTGAGGTAAGACGTTAGCCATCGCGTCTATTGCATATGAAGTATGCATTGTAAGGTTTTGAAATGTCCTTCAATCACAGCATTCATCCTGATCCACAACGCTACCGAAGATATCCTCCAAAAACTGGTCGCTTAAGCCTTCCAGTTCATTGGCGGTTTTTATCAGCAATGATGAATTATAGCGTATTACATACATAGCACATCCAAAGCTTCTGTTGAAGTTCTTTGACAGTGTCTCATGTTGGGCACCCAATGGTCGGGGTAATGGGGGTACTGGTGCTCTAATTTCCTCCAGTTTTAATGAGTTCGAAGTCTCTATTTCAGACTTCTCGATTGACACAAATGACTAACTGGTGCGGCGAGAGTGGTGAAGGTCTGGCCAAGGCCGACTTTCTTACTGTTCTCATTTAGACCTGCGCCAAATTGAACCTGGATCTTTTGCTTCTTTGTTTTTATGGCTCATATTTCTCCTAAAGCTCAGAACTTCATTGGCGGGAGCACTTAACAACAAGCCTCTCTCACTTGGAAACTGAGGGTAGGATTGTAATTATAATCTAGATGAGAGCCGAGATTTGACATTTTGTCTCGAATGATCGTTTATGAACGTACATTGAGATCGAAGATTCCCATCCAGCATTCTGTAAGTCGAAACCTGAACACTGACGACTGTCTGAACATCTAAATTGCAAGTTTCTACACGTGCTGAAACAGCTTTCACAGCTGGCATTGGACGGAGGGAGCAAATGAAGTTACTGATGTGTCGCAGTACGACATGATTCAACTAATTAGACCGCAGGCTAGAACAACCCCGACCGTATGCCATCCGACGGCTTCTAGAGTGTGCGCGATGATCGGCGGGTGAGTTCTTCACGGTCAGATGGGCATTGTGCTGATAGTGAAACACCTCCGGAGTAGAGTTGCTTGATGATGTATATACACATATTGAAATTACAATGAACACTTACAATTTGCAATAATGGAGACTTATCACCTGAATATATCTCTAACTGTTGTAATTACTCAACTGCAGTCTCCCAACAATCGCAGACAATATGGTGACGAGGGATAATCCTGTGGACAGTTAAGTATTTCATTAAGCATCCTCAGGCGGAAATTCCATCGACGGCCTGCAGCCCCACCGTTAGTGATGTTCCAGTACTATCCGGGGTTATTTCGAGTAGAAAGATGAAATCACAGTTCAGACTCATGATGCTCGTATTTCTCATGGTTGCGAAGTTCGCAGCCCTGTCCAAGAACTCACGGCCGTTTCTTAGCCAAAATACTCTCCCCAACAGTGACGGACGCTCCCACTCTATAGAGCAAATCAGTAACTTATTAGAACATGGCTGACGGTGGCCGTCGAATAGGGTCCCATCGGGTGAATTGAAACCTGTTGGGTCCGTTTAAGAGGTTTGAGTTTCCAAGGGGTCCCATCAAATCAAATTTCTCGTCAATGGGATTCTGTATTTGATTTTCAAGAAGTTCCATATTTTGGAAAATAATTTTTTTTCTTCATCTACTTGGCCTAAATAGAGAGTGATAAAAGGAACTATCTCTTTCTAGGGACCAATCGATATGTTGGAAGGTTGTCACACCTAGGTATTCACGTATTACTTGTGGGCTGGTCAGTTCGTACAAACGACTACTTCCTGGTCACAATTCTTGAGCATGACCAGATCTTGCAGAATTGCAGAACTCCATCGCGAGGATGGAGTTTTGGGGTGAGCTCGATGGATACATCCGACTGAGCTTGTTTAGTTCTCGTTTGGCCCTTTTCCCCCGCATGATATCAGGCTAAATGATAGAGCTTTTCAGTCATAATATTATTGAAGAGTTTAAAGACGTGATATATATTTCTACATGACCATGGTGCACCGGTGTTTGCAATCCTTTGTGCACAAGCACCACTATCAAAAAACAAAAATTCAGGTTCAAGTTTGTCTATGCAAAAACAAAAATGCATATGAATACATACAGTTTTATCTCTTTACCATTAATACCAGAAGACACAAAATGTTTTTGAGTGTCGATTTTTGGCATTGAGTTCTGAATTGTTATACCTCTAAGCTAATCAGAAAATGGTCATACAGATTTACTAGGAACCCTTGTTTGCAGGTCATAATGAGAATTTTTTTCCACGTTCTAGCCAACGTCATACTGGATCTTTATTCTTCAATACTTTGTGCACAAGCACCACTATCAAAAAACATATGAGATGATATGGAGAGTGATATGCTCAATTTTAGGAAATCAATAGTTTAATCAGGTTCCTAATGAATCTGTATGACCATTTTCTGATTAGCTTAGAGGTATAACAATTAAGATCTCAATGCCAAAAATTGACACTCAAAAGCATTTTTTTTTCCCTCTCAAATGAAACCTCTTGTCAGCTTCTAGTATTGATGGTAAAGAGATGAAACTGTATGTATTCATATGCATTGTAGTTTTTGCATAGAGAAACTCAAACCTGAATTTCTTGTTTTTTGGTACTGGTGCTTGTGCACAAAGGATTGCAAAATAAAGATTCAGTATGACATTGGCCAGAACGTGAAAAAAATTTCTAACTATAACCTGCAAACACGGGTGCACCATGGTCATGTAGAATTGAAATATATATATCACGTCTTAAATTTTTCAATAATATTATGCTTGAAAAGCTCTATCATTTAGCCTGATGTCATGCCGGGAAAAAGGCGAAACAAGAACTAAACGAGCTCAATCGGATGTGTCCATCCAGCTGACCTTGCGTTGGAGTTCTGCAAGATCTGGTCATGCTCAAGAATTGTGACCGAGAAGTAGTCTTTCGTGAGAACTGACAGCCCACGAGTAGTTCAAAGTACGTGAAAATATAGCTGTGACATCCTTCCAAATGATCGATTAGTTCCGTCACACCTTTTCAGGTTGTTAAAAGCTCTTAAATAGTTGTTTGGGTTAAAAGGCGCTAGCAGCTTACGAAAATTGTGTAATTAAATTAAATAATGGTGCGTTCAAAGCTTAATAAAATTTAACTACACAATTTCGTTAATTTTTTACCTCCTTTCTTAACTCATGAATTTGCAACTTTGAAAATAACAAGATGTAGTTCTGAAATATCAAGATCTTTTGGAAGTTTCTCGATAACAAAATTACATTGATAAAATAGTGGATGAATATAAGCAACTTTTGGTGAACATCAACTTTGCCATGCTTTAAATCGTTTGACAAACATATCTCATCTGATTTTAGTGAAGCTTGGACTAATCCAAACATTAAATTTTTTGATGAAATTCTTCGGAGAATTAGCATGTCTGTCATGCGAATACGTATCGCCATACACTCTACATCGTTGACATGCTACTCACATACATATACGCACACATACACACATATAAGGCGCGAGAGAGTACACACTCAAAATGTCACAACTCGAACACAGTTCTTCGAGTGAAATGAACGGGAGATTCCCCACTGGAATTCTCGTCGGTCGTTTACCCTACTGGTAAAACCGTCACCGTCACAAACATAGTCAAGCCAAACCCACTCCACACTCGGAGATTGCAAGTCGATGCTCCCGTGCACTACTCCCAACACGTTAGGCTTGACTCGAAGAACTTACGTTCTTCAAGCCGTCCCTGACTGAATACCCCTCGCGACCCAAACCCTAAGCTCGATACTATTTTTAGCAAAACATCAAAAACTACATGACATGTCCATTTTCAAACACTGCCATTTTAGAAAACAATTTTTCAATGCTGAAATGAGAAAAATATCTTCATATATATATTAAAAAATACACCCAATCTCTCGAAAGTGTAATCAAATTTAAATATTTTTGAAGAAAGAAGAGAGTTTTGTATGTTCTATCCTTATTTTATTTTGATGATAATCCTTATTTTGATGATAATCCTTATTTTGTTGAAATCCAAAACATAAGAAAAATTTCTTGTAAAGAGATGGCTTCTCATATTCTGTTATAGGGTTGGGGAATGATCATGGAGAGTAGGTAACCATCACCGTTTTTGTTCTTTCAGTTAGTTTGAAATTTGAATTTGTTGATAGTTATTGTTTTCTTTCTAATTTTTGACTTATTATTTTTGATACAAATGATATTGTGATATTTGAGAGTAATTCATTATGAAATGTTAGAAATTTATTCCAAATTCTGTTAAGTAAATCTAGCTATTATCAGTTAGATAACTGCACATAATGGACATAAAACGAGTTGATTGAAAGTCTCCGTAACACAAACTAAAACTAAATTCACCTCACAAGTTGTTGAATTTACCATCCGTCGCTGGAGTTGTCATGGAAACAAGTATGTTCAATTTGAATGTCAATGTACCATGTTGCATCTCTCTTTTCTAAGGGCAGATCGAGGTATCTTAGAGCCAGCATACTATTTTCTGCATCAGAAACTATTGTGTCTTACAATACGCCATGCAAGCTATTCCAAAGACATGGTTTCGATGTTTCCTCCATATGCATACGAAAGGATCACCATTGACAGTAGCTTGTCCAAGGGGAAAAAGAAAATGAGAGTAGAGAACCGATACTCGACGTAAAGAAAAGCAAAATTAATCATGAGATGACTTGTTGCCATGAAGATTGCTGCGACGGAAGTTGAATTTAACAATCACTTAAAAAATGCTTGAATATGGTCACGTATTTCGGCAAGGATAATTATATACTTTATGTGCCTAATCTCATGGAAGTAATGACATCTATCTTATGTGCGAACATGAAAGTTCATATTATTCTTATCATCCGTGATTAATATTTTCCTTCAATATTTCCCTTTCCTATAATTTCTTTTCATGCTAATGACTATGTTGATAATCTTCTCAAGCTCACGGGAGTCGTAAGCCTAAAAAATGTAATATCATAACTTTTATCAAGTAAGAAGTCTGATTTCAATCCAAGTAAGATTTTGAATATTGAACTGATTAATGAACCCTATATACGTAATGAACTGATTAATCAAAATTAATATGGAGATGATGCGATCATGTAAAGAGAACATTTTCACAATTTCTGAAGCTATCAATTGATTTTCTACATTTGACATCTTCAACACAAGCTATTTTGTACTTTGCTAAAATCTCTTTGGAAATTGTGAAATATGATGAATTATTTAAATCTAATTATCATTGTATTTTTTATTTATTTGTGATTTGAAATTTGAATATTTAAATTAATCAAAAAATGGAAATTTTGAATTGATATGATTGATTATCTTCAAAAAAAAATTTAATAAATCTTTTTAATTGATCATTTATCAGAAAAATTTGGATAAAAAATTTGCACAAAATTTAGAATTATATTATTTGCTTCGGCTTTGAGTTTATATACAAGCAAAGCAGCGCAAACAATCCCTACTTCCTGCATGGTTACTGTTTGGCAAGTTTTTTACTTTGACGCAGTCTATCAGGTCATCTTCAAAGGACCGTGTAATAGGCGCTCGGGGGTTGTGCCTTTCCGGGTTTGAAGAAGCTCCGAAGAAAGTCAGGTTAGAGAGTTGTGCTATGACTTTACCCACGCCCTTGGCTTTAATCTTGTGTGATAAGGTGTGTAGGGTAACACTACAGTACATAGGCCGCCACGCGACTTATTATGCTATAAATTTTTACCGAAATGGTGTCTGTCACAATTTTTCAAATATGCATTTAGAGTGGTTATTTTTTTTATGCTTGCACATTTTGAATTTTTGACTTCAATATAAATTATATTTTCTTCAAAATCTATTAAAAATTTAATCAATATTGAGATAAATGTGATATTTTGAAATTTATGCATAAAAAAAGAGTCAAAATATTTCAATTTCAAACAGAATTTATACTGTGATCAGAATTTATGCCAAGAAATTTTTTTTTCTCTAAGCTTTAAAATTGAATGAAAAAAAAAAGCTTATGTAGAAATTTGAAATCATTTGCAATGATTAATTAAATTCTATGATGATCTATTTAGATTTTCTTCTATTTGATTTGACAATATCTTCAGTAATGTTGTTCATAACATGGTTGAAAAGAAATAACCTGTAAAATTTGAAGAAGTATCAAATATCTTATTTCTAAAAGGTCTAACTTACTTTATGATTTTACCAAATAAACAATGAGTTGCAATAAATGAAAAAAAAGTGAATGTAAATATAAAAGAAATAAATGACAACTCATATGTGTATTTAGCTTGTCATATTGCCAAATTATAAAAAGCTCCTAGTATAGAATGATTTCCATGTGACATATTAATCGTATTTCAAAATACTCAGACCTAAATTGCTGAACATTTCCAGTATTCAATTAAAATCTGCCACAACTAAGTTTGATCTTAGGATTTTTGAGACTAAATTTCATGTTTATGCACATTTCATAAAGTAGTTCGTTACATCCATGATAAATCTAGATAATATATGTGCTGTGACAATCTATTATGAGAAAATGATGACAGCTTGTTATCTTTAAGGTTGTTGTTATAAAAAAGTAACTAAAGATGATTATTCGTTAATTATTGAGATGTTCAAACTCATCACATATGACTTATAATTTTTGAATTGTAGTATATACAAGCATGGTTACCGAGTCGCCTACTTTACCTATTGATTTATTCTTGTATCACTTGACGGGCTCCTTCCCGCCCTCTTTGCAATATTATTCTCTTCACTTAGAATTTATACTGCGGAAAAATTTACCACTGGAAAATGTTCTGCAATAACTCAAGGGAGCCGGCGAGGTGCAGTTATGAACTAAGTACGATGTGCACTTGGGCAAGTCTACTTTACCGGCTATGACATGCTTGCTTCTATCGAGTTGCAGTTATGAAAAGTCCAAAATGAGCAGTTGGACAGTTAATTTTATCTCGTAATACCACCGATGCTTACACTTATCGAGTGTAAACAGCAGATTGTAATTCCAGATAGTGCACTTGGCCAAGGTCGATCGTGCAAGGAAAAGTAGCAACTAATTGCAATCTCATTATACTTTTCATAACCGACGTGTTCCCTCCGGCAGTTGCCTTTCCGCTCTGAAGCACAGATATGAAACACATGCAGTGAATGGATCTGTCGAGGGTTCAAGACATTACTAGTCCCAAGTTCTCCACGAGTTCCGCATGGACATGTCAAGTTAAAATTGTGTAAATCATCTCGTGGACGGAAGCCAAGAATGCCGTCATCATTTTTTCCTCTGTTCCTCATGAGAGCATCTGGATCCAAGGTGCCAGTATGACCAACTCCCTTCTACTTTGTTCCGTAGAAGGTGTTCAGCTGTATTTCATCAGGCCAACAGACTTTCTCAAGCAAAGCGTTCTGTACAAAACGTACATCTTGAGCCCATGGATGTCTCTCTCAGTTTTCTGCACCTAATCGACGATATCAGACGCTCCAAAATGACCTGCCTGACCGCAGCAGAGCCTTACGGCCTCATATTATCTAAATAAATGCGTACACTCATAGAGATATAGTTATCTGATACCTTTATAACAAGCGATGGACTTTTCTCACCTCTTTAGTGCCTTCATCTTCAGGTCGGTATAGCTCCGCCCCAGCTGGCGTAAAAAATTTGGACTGAAGCAGCCACAGACTGTAGATCTACGGGGGAGTCCAAATGAGACACGGCTTAGCTTGGAGATCTCTGGATCTGTAACCAAATCCGAACGAGGACCTTGAGGAAGCTGTGCAGTGTGTGTACGAGTACGAGGCAAATCAGAGGGAATATCCTGATGCAGCAGTTTCGCATTGCATGGCTCTCGAGTCCTGAGGGCTGCCAACACTCCGTAAGGACTTGTGCAGTCCTCACTTCCGCCACTTGGTGGGTTCCTTCTGGATACCTTTCTGGTACCTCTGGGTTCCCCTCTGTGGCCACGTGGAGTCCATCTCATCAAACACGTGGAAGCTGTGCGAGTTCCCGATAAGAGCTAGTCGTCTTCACCTCTAGGTTGCGCTTTTTGGACTCCATGCTTCACCGAGTCTGATGGTCCACGCTGATGCTGATGCTTGATGTTCTTAGGCTCGAATCTTGCCCCTTTCTTGGTCTCGAGTCTCGACCCTCGAGTTCTCCAGGTTTGTGAGTCTGCCCTCTGTCCTCATGCCATTAAAGCATCAGATAATGTGATCTGCTTTCATGGATTTTGTAGATCTGGGAGGAGGAATTCTGTCGACTGACTAATTGTCGCCCACAATATGCAGAAGTGATCAATTGCTTGTGCTGGTTGGTTGGTTGGATTGGTCCGGGGAGATTACAGAAAGTGATCGAGGGAAAGTGTGGTTCGTTTGATCGAAGTTGGCGCGATGGTCCAAGTTCACACCGTACATAGTTTGCTGAGCAAGGCTGCTGAGGAGCATGGTGACAGTCCAGCTCTGATCGTTCCCAATGTCTCGAGCCTGTCCCACTCAGAGTTGCACTCCGCGATCGAGAAGACCGCTGTCGCTCTGAGGAGGGCGGGCGTTAAGCCCGGTGACCTCGTTTCTCTAGCTTTTCCCAATACTTTGGAGGTGGGTCTTTGCTTTTCCTTCGTGGTCTCTCCGTGTAATTTGAATCTCAACTTTGTAATGTTTCGATCGTGGAGGTATGTTTCGCTGAAAGAAATTTTCATGACGTGTAAATTCTTCAGACGAGCAGACAACTTAGGAATGGGTGGGTGGATCTGTCTATGAGAGGGTTGATGACTGTGGCTAGATTATTTCTCGTATCAGATGGACTTGCATTCACTGACCGAGTCATGCGTTTGTCTTTGCGACATCACCGATCAGCTCAGGACTGTTTAGTATCTTCATTTACCAGTAAATTCTGTAAGCTAGTTTTCCGCTTCGATGGAAATGACCCATGTAGCAGACAAAGAGGCCAATTTGATTGTACTGATTCCCTCTAATTTTAGTTCCTTGAGTTCTTGCCTCTGTGTGTTCATATGGATTCAACCATATACACTACATTGGGACTGATCAGATGGTTGTCTATGGTCTCAGTTTGTGGTAGTTTTTCTCGCAACCACAAGGGTCCGAGCGATCGCAGCTCCTTTGAACTCCGCTTACACAGAAGATGAATTTGTATTCTACATGGAGGATGCTGGATCCAAGTTGCTGTTGGTTCCAGGAAAGGAGGGGAACAAGGCCGCTGAGGGTGCAGCTGAGAGACTCAAGTTGCCAGTTGCTGGAGTCCATTGGGAGAAGGGTGAATCCGGCAGTGGGGAGGTTAGTCTCATCCCAAAAGCCAGGTTGGAAACTGTGTCGGAGGATTCTCCTGGAGATGAGCCCGAGGAGGACGATGAGGTTCTCTTTCTGCACACTTCAGGAACTACCAGTCGTCCAAAAGGAGTGCCCCTCACTCACTCCAACCTTGCACATTCAATTAAGAATATTACAGCAACTTATGAGCTGACACCTGCTGATAGAACCTTGATCGTCATGCCTCTGTTTCACGTTCATGGCCTTATGGCTGGTGTTCTATCAACTCTCAATTCCGGAGGAGCTGCCATCTTACCTGCTGCTGGTCGCTTTTCAGCGTCAACTTTTTGGAAGGACATGAGAGACGGTGGAGCCACATGGTACACAGCAGTGCCGACCATCCACCAAATTCTCCTCGCTCAACACAAGTCCAAACCCGAGGCCGAGTATCCACGTTTGAGATTCATTCGTGCATGCAGTTCCAGTCTTGCACCGGCTGTTCTGCATAATCTGGAAGAATCATTTCATGCTCCTGTCCTAGAAGCGTATGCCATGACTGAGGCCAGCCATCAAATGACCTCAAATCCCCTTCCTCATCACGGTCCGCACAAACCGGGTACTGTGGGCAAGGCAACAGGAATTGAGCTTGCTACACTAAGCCCTGACGGAAAGGTGCTGCCACCTGGGCAGCAAGGAGAAGTTTGCATCCGTGGGCCTAACGTGACAAAGGGTTACAGAAATAATCCAGATGCAAATAAAACAGCGTTCGAGTTTGGATGGTTTCACACAGGAGATCAAGGTATTCTGGACGAAGAAGGTTACTTGACTTTGACGGGTCGTATTAAAGAGCTCATCAACCGGGGAGGTGAGTCTGCTGTCAGTCCACGCCCTCTTTGTGTCAATCCAGCCTGCTAATTTATATTTTTGCGTTCAGTTTAATTGTATACTATATCCTGCCACAAGCTGGGGGTTGGAGGAACTCAGACTACTCCTCTTTGACCCCAGTATTGACGTTCCAGCTTGGCATCTGGGTTCTTCAAGGTCTAGAGAATTACTGAACTTTTTGATGGACTTGTATGTGAAAATCCGTATGATGTTTATTCCCAGATATTGACTTTTGATCTTCAATGGTACAGGGGAGAAAATCTCGCCTCTTGAAGTTGATGCTGTATTGTTAGCTCATCCATCAGTATCGGAAGCCGTTACGTTTGGCGCTCCAGACGAGAAGTACGGTGAAGAGGTAAATAGCCGTCCAGAGCTGCCGTCACTTCATATTGTTTGTACCTTACTCTTGTGGGTTGGATGTTGAAGCCTCGTCATTTTTCTAAGTGTTGAAACTCATATTTTTTTAATTAGCCGTGCATTACTTGATTTCACCCCTGATTTACGTAGCTTGTAGTTTGCATGATGCAACCTCATTACGAGTTATATCGTGCTTTCGACCAGGTTAACGCTGCCATTGTTCTTCACAAGTCGATGGAGGCAACAGCAGATGATATTCTGTCTTATTGTAAGAAAAATCTAGCAGCCTTTAAAATCCCGAAGCGCATCTTCTTTGCGGACACAGTTCCCCGAACAGCTACAGGAAAGATCCAGCGGCGGTTCGTTGCTGAACACTTCCTTTCAACAGAGAAGGAGGCAACTTCAGGTTAGCATGCATGATCTTACCGGACTGCATGCACAATAATGTGAGGTTTTAGGACAAACTGAACACAGTGCACACGTTTCTAGACTTTTGAGCAAAGGGAATGCCCTCTCGCAGCTGTACAGCCACTTTGGGTTCGAGAATAAAACGGAAGATCTTGGTCCACGTTGGAAACTATTGGTTTTGTAGAACTGCTCGATTTGAGTTCTGTTTCCTTGGTTTTTGTCGTTTTTTTGTGTTACATGGACTGCTAGCGCAAGTTTCCTTGGAATGTTGAATAGAAGCATCCACGTTTTCTTCAGATTCCCATCTTGATTTATATAACATTCTATTCCACGACACAACGAACAGATTGAATGCAAGTTGTATCTTTGAGGCGCTGTACAATGGAAGATTAACGTTGACTTTCCTCTAAGCTTACTTGTACCGTCATGTATGGATGCTGCAATGACCTGGCAGCAGTTCCAGAGGAGAGAAACTCGCGGCTCTATGATGGAAACTTGATGGCAGCCAAAGCCTTCGCCAAAGCTGGAGTGGCACATATGTTTGGGGTGGTAGGAATCCCTGTAACCTATCTAGCAACAAGTGCCATGAAAGAAGGTATTCGTTTCATTGCCTTCCACAATGAGCAGTCGGCAGGATATGCAGCGAGTGCTGCTGGGTACTTGACAGGAAAACCTGGCATTCTCTTGACCGTTTCTGGACCGGGTGCTGTCCATGGCTTAGCAGGTTTGAGTAATGGAATGATAAATACCTGGCCAATAGTCATGGTTTCAGGTTCTAGTGTTCAGGCTGATGTAGGAAAGGGTGACTTTCAAGAACTTGATCAAATGGAAATTGTAAAACCATTTGTAAAGTACGCTGGAAAGGCCAAGAGTATTAGGGAAATTCCTACTGTGATTTCAGAGGCTCTTGCGGCTTCACTCAGTGGAAGACCGGGAGGAAGCTATGTGGATATTCCTTCGGACGTTTTGCATGAGACTTTATCTGAAAATGAAGCTGAGAAACTTTTGGCGGTTGTAACTGAGATAGTTCCATCATGGACCAACGCATCGAATCCCAAGGAACTCAAGGTCTCTGAGGATGAGGTTTATGAAGCTGTTTCAATGTTGAGACATGCAGAGAAACCACTCGTTGTTTTTGGAAAGGGAGCTGCATATGCACATGCAGAGGATGCTATCAAGCGACTGTTGAAGATCACTAACATTCCCTTTTTGGCAACTCCCATGGGTAAAGGTCTCCTTCCAGATTCCCATCCTTTGTCTACTACCGCAGCCAGGTCTGTTGCCATTGGCGAAAGTGATGTAGTTCTTGTTGTGGGTGCACGACTTAACTGGTTGCTTCATTTTGGAGAAGCTCCTCGTTGGTCAAAGAATGTGAAGTTCATACTGGTTGATATCTGCAAGGATGAGATAGAGTTTCGCAAGCCTGCTCTTGGTCTTGTCGGAGACGCGAGAGTAGTTCTTCAGCAGATAGCTGACGCAGTCAAAGACGACCCTTTTACCTTCGGTGATCAGCACCCATGGTTGCAAAAACTCAAGAAGAAGGCATCAGATAACATTCAAAAAATGGCTACTTCTTTGGCTAAGGTGGTTGTACCTTTCAATTATCTGACGCCTCTCCGCATCATCCGTGATGCAATAGCGGCTGAAGGATCACCTGCTCCCATACTCGTATCCGAGGGTGCCAACACCATGGACATTGCCAGGTCTGTTTTGGAACAAGTAGAACCCCGAACAAGACTTGATGCAGGTACATGGGGAACCATGGGAGTGGGTTTAGGTTATTCAGTGGCTGCATCAGTTATTTCACCTGAACGGCTGGTAGTTGCTGTCGAAGGAGACTCTGGATTTGGTTTCAGCGGGATGGAGATTGAGGTATGAATCTTTCTTATATTCAGACAGCTAGCTCAACTAGGATTGGCCATGTAGACTGTTCTAAATTTTTATGCGCGTGTCATCATCTTCTCTTTGAGCTTTTCAGTCAGGCCCATCATCATGCTCCTTGAGCATGTCGGGTTTCGTGGACAGAAATCATGTGGTAAGGCTCCTAGCGAAATACGTTCAATGACTTTCCAATTATTAGCACTAAAACATCTGCTGACTTGTGTCTTTTGTCTACTTTACAGACCTTAGTTCGATACAAGCTACCAGTGGTGATCATTATTTTTAACAATGGAGGTGTTTATGGTGGGGATCGGAGACCTGCTGAAGATATTGTAGGTCCTCACAAAGATGACCCAGCGCCCACATCATTTGTTCCTGGCGCACGTTATGATATAATGATGGAGGCGTTCGGTGGGAAAGGTTACCTAGCCGGGACCCCAGAAGAGCTCGAGTTAGCTTTAAAAGAATCCTTTGCAGCGCGAAAACCCGCAGTTATAAACGTGATAATCGACCCTTATGCAGGATCTGAAAGTGGAAGAATGGGTCACAGAAATTGAATACTGAACAGGTAATAGTTGGTGGAAGCAACTTTTGGTGTTCAAGTATATAATGGAGAGCTGAAGTTCGTGTACAGCGCTCGAGCTTTTCTATGTTCTCTAAGATTCAGCCACGCATCAAACCGTTTTTACACCTACGTTTTGAACCTCATCAAACTAAGGTTGATCAAGCAGAATCGTGTGTATCCGGGCGTACCATTGTAAAGTCAATGATTTCCGCTACTTAATTTCCCATGAATCGTTGAATACTCTTTCTATTAATCAGGTGAACCAACAGTTAGGCATTGATAGAGATGTACTCAGAGGTTGGAATTGTGCTTTCGCAGGGGTCTCTGCACTCAATTAGATAAATGGAATCCAACGCAGTAACTTCTGTAGTTATACCTATCTTCCACCTTCGACCTCAAACAAATAACAATCAGGGTCATACGGATTTCTTTTTCCTAAACGCCATAACTGTTTCAGTACCGAGTCTGTACAGAGGTTGCCACACCTTGGGAGTAGATTCCCATCATGGTTTTGCATCGATCATCGTCATCTGCTCTGGTTTCTCTCATGCGAATCAGAATGCCGTTCCTGTAATAATATTCACAACGAGGAGTTTGACCGCTTCGGATGTACATGAAAAAACACGTAATAATAAAAAATCAATTCAGTTATATTTATAATCAAGATGGAAACAGGAAAGATAGATTCTGAATATGTTTGAAGCTTTGCATACAAATCTTGCCTGATTTGCACTTTTAGTTTGACAAGCGCAGAGGTGCATACAGTTTATGAGATATTCTCTCTGGTGTACCCTTATAACTTCGTCATCAGAGTAGCCTATCTTTGGATTTGATTCTTCATAAGAGAAACAAAACTTGAATTGACCAAATTTTGTCAATATGGTTGCAATTGCACCTTAATCTGAAATGGCGAAAAAAATTCTTTACTTCATGCGTTTGCAGATCTTTGTTAACCTTTCAAGCTACCGCAAAATTGACGTGAGAGTACACAAATTAACTTTCCAGCTCCTTGTGAAGTTAGAACAGACAATTCATACCTTTCATCCACTTACCAGCTACTCCTCTCTCGAGAAATGTTGTAATAATCCTTGTATATGAGAGTACTGAAAAAGAAGAAGAAGGGTTAGGATATAATCTCCATTGATTCTGTACAATTTTTTAATCTAACAGCAGTCAAATTTCAATAGTAGTTTCTGATGAACAAAGTGCTACACAGGGGCCGGCTGTAAGGATGACAAGTGCGGACCCCCTGAGTTGTTTAAGCCCCTAAGTGTTGCGTCGAAAGGTTTTTGGCATAGATATACGCGAAGTGAGGTGTTGTCTGTCACGACTATACTTGAACAGGATCTGTTCTATAGTACGTACATCTTGATTTGTGATCACTATCACAGATAAGTCCCATAATCCGGACGATGAGTAGAGGCTTGGTTGCCAGTGCGCGACTACTGTGAGCTCTGCCGGGCGCAAGCCTTCGCAGGGCTCTGCTTGATGACCGTCCTGCCGCGATCATTCCGCCGGCGGTGAAGGCAGTCAAGCGTTCTGACGGGTATCCTTTTTCCCTTTTCCACATCGCGATTTTATTCGCGGTTCCTCAACCTTGAGAACTGAAGCTGGTGTGTACTCAAGTTGTGAATATAGAGGTGTCGGAACTATGGGATTTCTTTGTGCAGGAAACTGTTGTTCAGTCATATCTAGAGTTTTTAATTTATTCCTCATAATTGTTTATCTATTCACACGTAATAATTCCAATAACAATTCACAATGCCAGTAAATGACAGTAATCTCTTCCCAGGTAATGATATTTTATCACAATGTGAGAGTAGTTAGCAGATTGGCCCTGAATCAGGTCGTTACCCTGGCCAATGAATGGCAGTCTGGGCTTGCCATCCAAACTTTGAGAAGCGACCAAAACATAGATTGCTAGCTTCTGCAGCTGAAGTCTGAATATGCATTATCAAATCAAGATCAGTGGACTGCACACGTAGCTTACAAATTTTTTTTTCGGGATAATTCATTTTCTGTTGATCTCGTGCTGTTTTTAATATATTAAAGCTGAAGAACTTAATATAATATAAACTCCCTACACTCCTCACATGTGGGATTCGTGGCGCAATGGTAGCGCGTCTGACTCCAGATCAGAAGGTTGCGTGTTCGATTCACGTCGAGTTCAAAACTCGGTCAGCTCCCACGAGCATTTTTTTATCTCAGCCTTTGCCTGTTCATCAAATGAAGTGGCGTGTTTGATTCAATTTGATGTTCTGAACGTACCCTGCAGATGTTGATGTTGTAGTCCTGCCTCACATGTAAGAATTCTTTTGTTCTTTGTTGCGTTCCGTCAGCTGACTTTGCAATTTACCAGTTCAAGGGTACAAACAAAATCGGGCAGGCTTATTCGAGGGAAGTCTGATTCTTTGTGACAAGGTTCAGTATTTGAAGTCCAACCCAGCAGTGAGGAAGGGCTTTCTGAATTTACTGCGACTAGTTTCGTCTCAATGAAACGCGCAGACCTCACATTGTCATTCATTGCTTCATTAAACCATAGAGTATGCCACTGAGGGAAAAGTCTACCAATTATCGACGTGAGTCAGGCCAAAAGTATGTGTTGCTTCGTAATAGAAAGGTTCTGAGTCTTTCCCAGTTTCGAGTTTTCCAAGGATGGCTTTGCAGAAGGGCAAATATAGTTTGTTGAGGTCGAAGATTCACAATCTTCGTAAGCATATCTATTCGTTACCTCGTCCCCCAAAATCTGATCTCTTAGAATTTTATTTTTTTTGACTAAGCACTTTGACCCACAGGCCCTCCGAGGAAAACTGGAAGACAGGTGAGTTTAGATTTTTTTTTACTTGATACATCACTTTTGAAAATCTCGGGGCAGAACTCACTTCTGTAGTTCCTGCTGGGCCTCATAGCTCAATGGCATATGTGAACCTCGGACCCTAGATTGTGATAGAGCAGTGTAGGCCAAGAAAGCCCGTAATTATGTGTTTTAAATTAAATTTAATGAACAGATGAACAGAACAGAACAGATGAAGAATGAAACGCGATGTTTTTTTCTGGATGTTTGAGTTAGATAGTTGTTATATAGTACTTGCAGCTGTAGGTCTCTCATTGTGTTGCCCGTTGGTTACCCATCCTTTGGCTATTTTACTCAGTGCCTGATACTTCTTGAGACAGTGTTGTAAAGCCCACAACGACACGGACAAGCGGTGGTATAATGGCGAAATACAGGAAGTTCCAACCCTCGCAGTCCGACTTCAGCAGGTTGGGCTTGTGATCCGGCAACATCGTCATCCTGCTCAGGTTCCCGAGCTTGCTGGCGATCATGAGCGCCATGACGGGTCTCGTGTGGGCGGATGTTATTTTCATGGCTCTGAACTTTCTCGTGGTGGTGGCGTCCAGAATGTCGGGGCACTATTGCAGGATGGTGATCAGAATCCCGTAGTGCAGGCAGGTCCTTCTATTAGTTTCCACGATGGAAGCATCGGCCTCGAGCTCCAGCAACAGTTCTACCCCTTCGTTGTGTCCGTTCTTGCTGCCAGCATCAACGCCGAGTTTTGAGCTCCGTATTCTCTAGCAAAGTTAACAATTCTCGGCGGAGGTTTCGGTGTTGCATTGTAGTCCACAACTTGACCATCAGATTGCAGGAAATCCGAGAGGAGTTGTAGATTCTCGACAACTCTTGAATAATGAAAATTATATTGAACTATCAATCACTTGACAAGCGAACGTCGATCGTGCTAAGACGATGATGAGATTCATCGTTCTGGTTCGGAGTGACACAAGAAGGGATTAGGAGAAACGAGAGTCACTTGTTCGGTTCCAATTCCGATGAGAGCATGTTGGAATTGTTAATCTCCGGGCGTTGAGTATATAACGACCTCGACGTGGCCTGTGCGAGCGAGGTGCAGGCTGTGAGGATGAAGATGTCCGCACCTAAAGCTAAGCGGTTCTGAACTGCCTTGGTGTTCCATAATACGCTGCCACTACCGATGCAGTGCTCCTCCAACGGTGATTCTCTACGGCGTTTACGAGATTTGGTCGATCGGCTAAAATGGATGAAATCTACTCGAACGTGTGGCCATCAATCAAAGCTTCCAGTGTGGAATTTCTTTCGAAGAACTCAAAATATTCTGGAGGTGCGTAGTTCAAGGACTGCTTTGTCTTCCTCTCCAAAGCCTCTTCATAGCCTTGATCCTCTTCGTTGCGATTTGGGGTTTTAGCTGCAGGATCGTCCACGGCACAAAGTTCCACATCCTTCTGCTGCTCCTGTGCTCTAACTAATATATCCGCCTCCGCATCCATCGGGTTTGCGGTCCCTTCTCTGGATCGATCGAACTTCAAGTTTGATATCAGGATCCTGCCAACCTGGTGAACCTCTCAGACTGTGCGTGAGTTACTGCCCTGGAGACAGACAGACACGAGCCAAACTGTTTAAGGCACGCATAGATCAACACCCTATTGGAATGTGTCTCCAAGAAAGATTGGGATAAAAAACGCCCGAGATTTACATGACAGGACCGGACTATTAACCGCTTCGAGGCTCGTTTCCCTGTACGATTGGGCGTGAACCGCACGTCGATTTTACGATAGATCTGATGTGGTTGGAACAGAATGTAACTCCCTCACGCTCGAGTAGGGGCAGAAATTGATCTGAAAGCCGTGATGAGATGACAAAAACTGCATGGTGGGTTTGAGCAAGAGGAGAGGAATAAGGGGACCGAGCCCCAGAAGATATGGCTTCGCAATTCAGCAGAAGAAAATCACAGAGCTGGGTTTGGGTGGTCAATTGCGTCAAGCAAAGCAGGTCAAGAGGAGAGGAATCCCAAAACCGCGTTGCCTGCGTTGAAGCTCTCCAGATATTAATATGATTTTTTTGGGCACGATCAGTACAACGACGACATAGGGCTCGTCAGAGGCTTAACATGATCCAACCGTGACGCACAATACAACCACGAAAGCCACCTGTAAACAAGGTAGCAATTTGTGTATCGAATAAACGGCTCGTGATTTTGGTACACAACTATCGACCATGTTTAGAGGCCACTTTCGTGGTTAGCATTCCACAAAATCGGGACGATTCACGACTGTAGAAATTAAATTCTACACCAGTCTGGCACCTTCACCATGTCACCGAAAGTTCTTGTTTACCAATCCACCTGGAAATCTGGAATTCCGAGCCCAGTTTAAGTTCATCAATCATAAACTTGGCTCATCCTAAAATCGTCACTCAGACTGCTTTCCTCCTCCCCAAGCTTCCAGGAGAGAACTGCTCCCGTGCCTTCATCATTCTCCCAAGGCCTCAAAACATACAGCCCGTCGCCACGTTCTGCCGCAACTTCATCTAATCGCTGTTAATATTAAAAAAATAAATTCAAAGCGTGAAGTTCGGTAAGATCTGTAAGGCCAAAGTATGCAGCGAAGAATATGTGGACTTCAGAAAATGTATGGGTGACAGATCACCCATAAATGTACTTAGAGAAAAAGAGAGGGCAATTGATAAATGTCGAGCATAAGGATGAGGCTCCAACGAGGGGAATGCTCGGAGGCTGCTGACTCGCAAACGGCTGTACAAGAAATTATACGGGCAGCTATCGAGCTCGCCTTTGAACGAAATTTTTAGCCCTCTCGTCATCGGTTACCGTCCAAGACGAGGTGGCTTTTCCCGGAGATCTTCCCCAATAACGCAACCACGCTATGCCTTCACATGGACGACTTCCTCTGGCATGCCCTCATCAGCTTAAGATGTGTTGGATGATGAATCCGTACCAGCGAGCAAATCTTTGCATTGTTATCGCGGACAGAAACAGCGATTTCATTTCATGAAAACCAAAGTATGGTCGACCCGCACATTTAATTATTTTCTCTTCTTTGAACTCCGTGTATGTAAAGAATTCGACCTTTCCCCACTCTCTGCCCGTCCCACTGTCAACCATTTGCGTGTCGAGGTATGAAGGGAAGTTGACAAAATGTCAGAGTTGCAGTCCATATCATCAAACTCTGTATGCATGCATGCACTCTGCATTTCGGTCAGATGTTGAAGCTTTAGGATTAAACTGGAAGGTTCTATGAAATCGCAGGCCTGTCCCAGGGCTATCAACATCACGCTTAATTCCAGTTGATCCCCAGATCGAATTCAGTTCGAGGCAATTTACTCCGACACTTTCATGTACAATATATACTCCGTGTCTCGGGAAATTTCGTTCTTTGTGTGAGAAACATCGGTTTGCTTTGCGGACAATTTGTTTTCTGACATTCTCACGCTGACGATTCATCGATGTACTCCTGTTCTGCAGCCACCAAATCGAAGGTTTCACCGTTTTCGAGTAGCGACTGACATGCCACCAGACTTGTCAAACCGGTTTTCCATTCGTAAAGCTTTCAATCTAAAACATTCTAAGCTTTTACCGAAAGTTGCAATTTGTGTATTCTCGCTATGTGACAGTTTCTTACCCTTATGTACCTGCCCAGAATGTCGATTTTACCACAGTCTACATCGATCGCTTCATACGACCTTCATGACTTGTTACAGTTGGATGCATGAAGAGCTTCTGAGGCCATTTCGCGCATTTCGTGCAATGTGGTCGCAATCGAAGCCAGCAACCAATGGGATGGATGTCAGAGGGGAGTCAAAGAGCCACCATCTACTAGCTCAGAAGTATGCCAGGGCTGCATGTCATTCTCAGAGTTGGGTCGGGACTGATGCTATGGCTGAAGGGATATGGGATATCATTCTTTACTGCAATCACATTCCGGTCCAAAAATGCTTGCCTTGGCCTCGAGCTTCCTTCGACGGTGCATTCCACCATTCAAAGGATGAATGAAGCACATGAAATCTTCTCAGGCCTCGCACACAAGAGTCATACGATACTTCCATAAGCTATGCTATGTACAAACGGTTCACGGTGCCAGCCTCCCACGGTTCTCGTCTGGCAATGCACTTCTAGGATAATCATACATCGTCAAACTGGAGAGTGTGCGATTCTCGGCTCGGTGCGAAGAGACGCAAGCTGTCGCAAAGAATTTCGGAACAATCCACAGGAGACTACCTCAAGGCTGCTAATTTACACTCGTTCTCTCTCTAGGCTAGCTGCGGAAGGATAAATCAGGACTGAAACTCGGCAACATACGAGACGGTATTGATCACGTGCACGACGGATTTGAAGTTGTGAGCATGCTCCGAGAGCAGCTTGACGATGTTCTTGTGGCCGTTCTCGGAGGCAAGCATCAAAGCAGAGGAGCCGGACGGGGTGGTGGTGTCGGCGATGCAGGGATCGGACTGGAGGATCTCTTTGAAGATGGCAAGGCGGCCATTGAACGCAGCGTGGTGTAAGCTGTTCCAGCCGTCTTTGGATTTCATGAAGGGGTCGGCCTGGTGGTCCAGCAGCAGGCGGACCATGCTCACATCGTCGTGGTGCTCGGATGCGATCATGAGCGCCGTGAGGCCGGCCGCCGTCGTGGTGTTCACCACCTGGGGACAATGGCGAAGAATGGCCTGCACGATGGTCCAGTTGTTCATGGACACCGCGTAGTGCAGGCAGTTGAAGCCGTCGTGATCCTCCGTCACCAGCACGTCCGCCTTGTGCTCCAGCAGCACCTGCACATCCTCCAAGCACCCGCCATAGCACGAGATCATCAGAGCCGTGAAGGTCGACAGCGTCAGCGGCGTGAACATCTTCTCGGTCTTGGAGTTCACGAGGTCCGGGCACGCCTCGAGGATGGTGTTCAGAATCTCCGAGGTGCCCCTGTAAGCAGTATGGTGCAGGCAATTCCAGCCCATGTACGTGTCCCGGATCGTGGCATCGGTGCCATGATCCAGAAGGCATTTCACCACCGCCTCGTTGTCCTTCCCGTACGCAGCCGCTTGGATCAGCGCCGTCTTCCCGTGCAGGTCTCGGATGTTCACGATGTCCTCCCCTCCGCACTTGACAATCTCCTCCAGCACCGCCGTGTGGTCGTTGTATCGCGCCGCAAAATGCAGGCACGTCCATCCGCTGCAATTCGTGCGCAGCACATCCGCCCCGTGCTCCAGCAGCAGCCTCACCATCTCCGTGTGCCCGTTCTCGGCCGCCAGCATCAGCGCCGTCTCCTGCCCTCCGTACTTGGTGCTCGTGTTCACGAGACTTCTGGATGTCGTCGACTGACGATGGCACACATTCAACACAAATTATGGTCTCGTTAGAAAGGTGAAAAGCTAGCGCGTCAGCTCCGCCTTCTCTCTTCTGTCCTCACCGGCACGCATCATGTCTGAATTCCGTGGGTTGCCATGATGACGCTCGGTTCTTCGCTTCAGATCGATCCGTGTCCTCGTCTGGGACGGTTCACGGCTCGGGAATTTATGAATTTATGGAAATCATGGGAAGAGTCTACTTACTTTTTTTTCGCCGTCCGCTTCCTCCTCCAGGGAAGATTCATCTTCTTCGTCGGGGACCGTCTGCAGCCCACTGGCGGCTTGATCTGAGTTCAGAATCAGTCTTGCAGCTTCTAAGCGACCCTCGACTGCAGCAATATGCAAGCAATTGTAACCTCTGTAGTTCAAGATAAAGACATCAGCACCATTTGTCAAGAGGAATTCCACGGCCTCTGTGTAGCCATAGCACGCAGCCACCATCAACCCGGTGATGGGTTCTTCTGCAGCGATCGTGTTGACCAGATCTGGACGGAACTTTACGAGTTTTAGGAAGTCTACTGGAACTCTACTGGAGTTGGGCCCGTCAACCAAAGCATCGAGTGTGGATGAGCTTCCGAGAAACTCCAAAATCTCGAGCTCCCTGTCGGCTAAAGACCCCGCTACTAATCCAGACAGTTCTTCGAGATCTTCCAGAGTTTCCACTACACTGGCGCTTGGGATTGAGTCACAATCTCCGACCTGCTCGGATCCTTCCAAGTCACATGGTTCTCCTTCTGGCCCGGAGTCCATCGAGATTTCGTCAGAATCTGCAGTTCCATCCACGTGAGGTGCCATTGTTCTGCTTTGGAGTCGAAGGAACCTGTCATACTATTGTTAACTTCACCATGATGATGATGATCGACTTCAAAGCACCAAACACTTCGCTGCATACAGTTTGTTTCTGGGCAATTGAGTGAGGAGAATTAAAGCCGAGCTAAGCTTCAATCACACACTAAATTACGAGCACACACGAGTGAATCGGTGATTCACTCGAACCACCCCGTACAGCCAATTTACACGGAGATGGCAATTAATGTCTCAATCGAAGCGCAAGTGCATGACTGTGTCCAAATCATGAGTAGGAAACCCCTAGGTGGATGTAGATGTAGATGTTCGATATGATTCCAGAGCTGAACGGAGGATCATGTGGACACGGATGCTAATCATACCAGTTTCTGTGGAGAAGAGTTTTTTGTCGATGATGAAAGCAATTGGGCGAACTGTTAGAGATCTAGATAAACCACGCAGATGCAACTTTAAGCTCTTGACGAATGATGAAAAGATAGAATTGGGGAGAATTGGAGAAATATAGATCCAAGCTTCATGAGAATAGAATTAAGTCTGTCGAGGAATCACACTAAGAAAAGTTACATTGGGCCTAACGAAAACCGTTTCAAAAGAGCTACATTTTTTTCTCTCATTTCTACGCATCGATCAGTGCGAATTGGAGTTTGCAGATCAAGAGAGGCGCAATGATTTGAAGGCCAGCCATTACCGTACAATCTTCCGCATTGAGCGAGAGCACATTCTTGCTGGACGGCTTGCCTTTTACTATTAGTAAAAGACAAGAACTGTGCACCATTCGAGCTTGACGTAACTTGTGCACATTGTGCGCGATATCAGGAGCAGGATCACGATACAAATGTCCATTCTAAAAAAAGAGAAAATTCAATTTTTAAGTTAATCTATCTCTTCTCTTAGTTTCAATTCTCTCACTATCGTTGAGTGCGTTTGTAGCTTTTCTAGCTAAGCCGACTGTATTTCCATGAACTGTGTATAGACCATATTTGGTGAACAAGTAATTTCAGCAGATAATTTCAAAGCTAACCTCGTTGTTCTGTAATGCCTTACAAGACGCTAAACTGATAATGGCATTAACTTCGAGATATATCCATGACAGAGTAAAGGAAGAGAACTGGTTTTTTAGATTCTGTCAGACACCGCGTAGGAATATCACTGTGAAGATGACATCCAGAATCACAAACGCACGTACAGCTCAGATCAGGACAACTTACATGCTGTGAGGGTTCCCATCGAATGAAGAAGGATAACGCCACGATGGGGAAAGACGACTGTACCTGTTAATCGCCTCCACAACGCATTATACATTATATATATAATCTTACTGTACCATAAAACCAATCCAATCTCGGATTTCTTTCTTCGAATACTATTTTGCCTTCCTGATGCCGGATCCAGCGTCTGGTGATTGATGTCACTCTACTGTGCTGGAATGAAAGACAACCGAATAGCTGTAAGGTGCTTCTTGTTCATGGGGTCAAATAGAATTCAATATGAGGATTCTGAAAGGTGCTCAACGGCGCACTCGTGCCACACCTCTGGCATATATGGCATCAGATCAAGGCCAAGAGCCCCTTGATCTGATGTAAGATGTCGGTGAGAGGAGGTCATGAATGAGGAGTGATACCAGGACTTAGCTTTTGATGCACTCATCTCTAAACTCGAAAGTTCGAAGTGTGCTCTGAAGTGTATATGGCCTCTCAAGATGTGACGATCTCTGGCAACCTGTAAATCCAGACTCCAGAATCTGGAGAGATCTTTTCGCTTTCTGGATTTTACTTCTTCATGTAGACCACTGCACACACAAGAAGCAAACCAATTCTATACTGGGCTGCCGGGTCAGAAGAGGAGGATCGAGCAAAGTTAGTAATGCAGGAGGATGGGCCTTCCGTGCTGTACCACAAGAACAGAACTGTCTAGTCTCAAAATCGATCTGCCTGCCGCTGCTGCCGCTGCTGCAAATTTGTCTTTCAAGATGATGATGATGATGATGATGCCGGGCCGCATTCTGTCGACGCCCAATTAATCTCAACCTACACAGCTGGTGTCGACCGCATGCCCCATTACATGGCGACTCTGTCATGGACACAGCCCAAGGCACACCCATCCGGGCAACGAACGCTGGTGTGCCTTGAGCTTAAGCGAAACATCTTCTTGCATAAATAGCTGTTACATAATCAACTGTACCATCGTTTCGCAATCCATACGAACGATGCGTTTTGGATAGACTCGTCTTCCATAATTCCAAAGGATCTCCAATTTCAGGATGGGAATTGAATGAGACTCAGTCATGGTTGTATCGAGGTAATGAATGATAGCAAATTCGGGTAATGCAGCTTATTTCTGGAAATACTGATGTTTAATTCTCAAATGCATACGTGGCCATGGATGGAGATTACAAGTCGGCTTGAGTCCGTACTGGGACATAAGGATTACATAGCAGCAGAGAGAAATTGTTCCACAACGGGAAGAGAAGCTATGTGGATGGTATCTGCAGTCAGAAACTCAGTCATATGTGTTGGGCTATGAGTATAAGTGTATCTTTAACCTCCCAAATATTTTGTTCAGAAAGCTATGGATGTTATTGCTGCAGAAATTGTTCCCTTCGGAAAATAAAGGAGTGCACCAAACTAGTGCCGAATTCTTGTCACGACTTGAAAGTAAGGTGACTTTAGAATCAGTTGGGAATGATTTTCCATATGACCACTTGTCCCAGTAGACTAAAACAGGCATACTAAAGTACCATGCTCTTAATAAGTATCTCACATCCTTGGAATTGCCAAGAGGATTTATTGATTGGATAAAAGACAATATTTGTATACAAGTCACCTCCATATCAACTCTAGAAACTATTTTTATCGATGTTGGGGTGATGATTCTTGAGATGTTCCGAACAATCCGAAGACTATGGTGATTTTTGAGGAATGCATATGGAGGCTGCAAGAGTAGAATCCTGATTTCAGAAATGTATGACACTATGATGTGAGAATTACATTGGACCCTCGAATGTACTAGCTTACGCTTGAGTTAAGGTTAATCTGCATAGTATAGCGAGTTATCATTTGAGGAATCTCCTACTAATATTTCCTTTATGGCTTGAAAGGCAAAGTACTCCAATGATAAATAAGTAATATACTTTTTACTTCTAAAGAGGCCCGACTTCTTGGCTTTTTGTGTTACTAACTTGACCTTATGGCTGCTTTAAAATATATATACTTTTCTCAGTTACAGATGGTCAAAACAGGGCAGTCCACATATATGCATAATCATGAGAAAGAGGAATCCACAAGGTATTGGTGGCTGAAGATTTCTAGAGATCTTCAAAAACTTACACAAAAGTCGCTTGTCAACGTCACGGAGAACCAACTCCGGTAAGAGGATGTGTTGAAGAGATATTTTCTTGTGGCAGCTTTATAGAAATGGATAGTAGATTTGTTTAGGGCTGAAATCATGACGTGCTCATTTTGGTTGATGGATGATGAATTTTGAAAAGCGGTTGCTTCCAAAAAAAATTAAAATACAAAGACAATTGCAAGATTTTTTTTGTCAAATAATTTGTAGATTTGAAATTACTCTAGAGCTAGTTAGTAATAGGGGAAATTTTTTTTCCAATTATCTGAGTGAGTAACTAATCATGTATTATCATGTCAAGCGTGTAAATACCCCATTGACCTATCCCAATTGATTGTATTAACAAAATATTCCAAAGATTTCGCAAGCAATATTCATTACTTATGCATCTTGGTTGACTATTTATTGTCGGAGTAGAAATTTCAACTTCATGAGTGGTTAGACTACGACAAATTGGAAGAATCTTACAATGAGTATCCATTGCTCCCTAATTAATTTTAGATACACACTCCACATGCACATCACATCCACATGAGGAAAAAAGTTTCTTGATGTTTGTTGGTATGATCCTAACATTGTAAAGTATTTGAATAATAATTTTGATATCTCAGTTGGAGTATTAAGAATTTCCCATTTGGTGCTTATCGTAGTAACACTTGATTCATATTTTGTGACTTAATGCACACATTGAATGACTTTTCCAAAAGGATTTGACAAGGAAACCATGAAAATTGGTTCTGCTAGGAAAAAAATCTATATCTTATTATAATTCACCTTTGTAATGTTTCCAAAAACTCAAAGAAATCCTACAAAATGAAGAAAGTGTAAAATGATGACTTCTTTGATCCATTGAATCTAGTGTTTTGTGTGTGACTATCTTGAATGATTTGAAAATTTAGTATATTTTGAGCAAACGTGTTTGCAGAGTCTCAGGATGTTAGTTTAAGCATGTGTATTAATCATTTGGAAAATAAATATCATATTGAAAGAAAATGATACTTTCAATTAAAAACAAGTATGATGTTACAAATTTTTTTTTTCATAAAAACATGTGAAGTTTGAATAAATGAGATTATGATCTTCTTGTTTTCATTGTCATTGACTTTTTAGAATGATTTTGGATACATTATCATGAATTTAGATAGTATTTGTTGACTCTAGGAGTGAATATATCAATGCATTGTCATACACAACTTCATAATATCATCTCAACATACTCTAAATTCTAATCTCACAACTTCATGTTTTTGTATTAACATGCTTGATATCTCAAATGTATATCAAAGCTATAATTTATTGTAACAAGTTTATATGATACACAAGATTGATATCTCTAAATTTTTTTGATTGATTTTTTTGAAAGTTTTAATTATATCTTTTAAGGATTTTATAATTATAATAGAAGATGATCAAAATTTATTTTTGAATTTTATTACTAGTTTTTATTAATGTGTAAAATATGACAAAAAAATTCTATTGAAATATGTCACGTTTTATTAATCATGCATGCTTCATTCAATATGCAATAACATATTATAGTGATACATGTTATAATATAAGCATATATAATTTTCAAATGATTATATTTAGTCAAAATTAATTGATGATGATAATTAATAACACACCTACTTGCTTTATTAAAATGCTTAAATACATGTTGTGAGAGACAATTCAAATTTTGATTAATTGAATCTCATTTGATTATGTTTAAATTTAAAAACGTTAAATAAAGTTTTTGATAACACAATCAATGTTTCTAATAAAATCATACTGTAATATTATAAACGATATATAAATAATTTAATCATTATAAATAATACATCCATTTTATGCTTTGTGTTGATGTGTTTTTTTAGTCTTAATATGAATTTTATTTGATTCATTATTATTTTTTTAAATTTTACTATAATAACCCAATGTATATTTGAAACTTGATAGCATATCATGATATTTTATCAGATCATGATTGTCCGTATATATGGTGTGGGATACTTTGATCATTATGTGATTAATGATCAAGAAGTACCATCGATACTCATGATGTTTCAAAGTGTGACGGTCGTAGAATGTTTCGTCATAGAGTTGACAAAGAAAAATCTCTGCTCACGTATATGATTGTGGAGAAATTTTGATGATTATGTGATTAATGATATGATTAGGAAGGAGTTTTGATGATTATGTGATTAATGATTACGAGTATCATTAATCCTGTGCTACTCTTGAAAGTGGAACATGTTGTTTTTGTAACCAACATGCTTATCATCAAGATGGAAATTGATAGGTGTAGTCAATTTTCATTGTGATAGCTGGAATGCTTTACATTTGACTATAAATCATATTATGTAGACTAGAATGTACACAACAATATCAAATTTTTTAATCAAACAAGTCGTGTTTGATAAAATGATTGAGCTAATCAAGATTGATGGTAAACTCTAATGATTGAGCTACTCAAACTTGATGGTAAATTGTCATGATTGAACTAGTCAAGATTGACGATAAACTTTGAAGAAATAATTGAGCTAGTCAAGATTGACGGTAAACTCAGTTTAGCTGATGCGTTGTCCAAATTTATTTCTTTAGAGAGTTTCAGAGGATATTGTGCTACTATGCTGGTTGTGTATAATGAGCACATGGAAAATTTTGCTCTCATAGTTACTTCGGATTGGTATCTCTTTATATAGTTACTTTATCCTGTGATGGCTACGACTTAGTTCTTGTTAACTCTCGTGTAAAGAAGCGTCTTGTGTTAGATTTCTGTCTAGAACCTTCCGCGGAGTAATAATGTAGATTACAGAGTTTAATGATCACTTAATATGAATAAAGGAGGAATTTGTTTAAGATTAATTCTAGCTAAGGAGTATTCTCGGGCTCTATGTTAATATAACTAGTGATGGAGCTTAAATTCCCCGGCTTTTGCATGTGTCACAAACTTTGAGTAAAGCATCACACGTGTTTCCATTGTGGACGTAACGCCTTTGAAGGGATGAATCACGTCATATAAAGTCTCGTGTGTTGGCTTCGTTTTTCATTGTGTTTCATCAGTGATGATTCTCGGTTTAATCACCTTTAATATTCATATTTTTTTGAAAAAAACTCAATAAAGTCAATTATGATAAAGTATGTGTTAATTTTTTTTATTTTCTTTGATTTAATATATAAACAATTTATTTGTCTATTTCCATCTTTTGAATTGTCAACAAGATCTTTAATATACAAAAAATGAAGATAATATCTAAATATTTATAATCTTAAAAGTTTGATTGTCATTCAAGACTATATTTTTCTTTTGCTTAAGTGGTATAGCTTTTGCATAATCATAAAAATTTTTGGTTGAAAAATGTTAATACATTATATCTATAAATACATCAAAAAAATCTATCTATTTAATTTTTTTATTTAAATAAATATTAGATAACAAATTATAGTTTTTAAAATATAAATTGCTTATTATTTTAGATCTAGGAGGAAAGCACGATGAGTCCAAATTAAAATAGCTTCAAATGAAAGTAGTAAATATGAAAAGTTTTTTTGAGTGAACTTCAATAGAAAATATTTTTTTTTAAAGATATCAAATTATTCCTAAATATTTTAAAATAATATATGCATATTTTTACAGGAAAAAATTATGAAGTTATATCACATTGATGTGTTTATTGAGGATGCGTCAAATCATGTAAGATTTTGAAAAATCTATTGTTGGATTATTGGAAGCATTGTTTTTGGATTATTATTGTATAATAATAATAAATAAAATATTATCAAAATTTAATTTATTTATTCAATCTAGTTTTTAATTCTACGAGAATTTTTGTTCATAACATTGATGGTTTTCAAATATTGAAATCAAAGTGTTTTTTTCTAGAGTATCAATGATTTCGATCATTATTTCAACTTACAACAATCTGGTGAACAATTTTTGTACTAAATTT